CCATCACTGGAGATCTCATCAAAACTAAAGCAAAAGTCTTTGCTGACCGACTTGGCTTGCACGAGGATGCAAGCAGAAATTCCAATGGGTGGCCGCAACTCTTTAAAGAAAGGAATAGCTGCGTTGCATCAGAATCCATGGTGAGAGTGGTGCAGCAGGTCAGGCAGTAATCGGTGCTGCCCTTCCTGTGCTTTTAGCAGTCATTACATTTTAAGTTATTAAAGCAAAGAAAGTGATGCCAAGCTCACATGATTGAAGTAAGGTATGATAGCAATTGGTATGGTAGTGACGTTTAGTGTAAATTAACGAATGCATCATCGTAAAATGAGATGCCGATCATCCCACCGTTATGCTTATTCCCTTTGACATCGATCATGCAAGGACTAAGAACAATTAAAGTCGCAAGTTCTCTCACACAAAAGCATACGATGTAGCTCTTCGGTGTGACGGTTAGTTTACAGAATACCGGTCTCGCACAGTATAGGTAACGGTATCAACTTATTCCGCAATCGCTTGCTCAACTCACTGTGCTATGAGGCGCATTACGGGCATAATGACTACTTTCGACGGCGCGCGTCACTCTCTGTGGTTTATCGTGTACGTTGTGGCAGGCGTCGGAATATTATTAACTCTGCTGGGCGATGCGTATTCGAATGCTGTCATTGTGTGTGACATGTACCCACAATTTTCATTCCTGGAGACTTTATGGGAAGAACTGGCCATGCACTACACTCGCCTTCCGTTTTTGCGTGTACAAGTACCCACGCTACATCTTTTGAGTGCATATGCTGTTATCTATGTTGTCAAACACTGGGGCTTAGTAGATCAAGGCTGGCCACTATTTTTTGATCTTCTCTCAGGTCGCTGGCTCTACCACCAACTGTTTGATTCTCTTCCGACACAGTAAGTAACATCTTTAGTCTCGTTTATTCTAGTAATTATGACTTAGTTATTGTGGTAGTCTATCATCTGTCTTCTCTGAGCCAGACATGCCCGAGCTACTGTCCGATGATGAAACACCTGAAGTGATTGAAGATGAAACGAAAAGGAATCATTCTGATGAACTCACGTCGTCATTGGTAGACAAGGACACATGCAAAGAAGCATTAGCTAAGCTAATGCAGGTGAAGCTGCAGTTTGCAAATCGAACAGTCTCTCGACCTGACGATTGGCTAGTGTTTGATCCATTACAGGAGAAACTAGTGCTGCAGAAAGATGTATTACATCTGAACAATGCTACGAATGACGACAGTTTTGGCTTCAGTGAACAGATAGAAGATAGGCAAACATTAGAATGTGCAACTACAATAGACTCGCAATCGAAAGTAGCCAAAGAACCAGAGTTAAGATTATAGACGCCAACTGTAACATGGCAACAACTGCAAACGTAAGTTAATTAACCGCTTTTTCTATGTCTCTAATTACTGTTGAAAAGCGTAGACAGTTTCCTCTTCTAATGGCGTTGGAACTTTTGCAATTTGACGCCAAAGTCTAGCGGAACCGCCAAATACGAAGCTCATGATCCGCTTCAGAATGTCTGTAGTAATTTTTGCATCTTTTGAATGCTTGTCACCATACCCAAGTTGACAACAAAGCTGAATCGCGCGAAGAACTGCGCTCGGTGGAATATGACCGCCACTTGCCACCGTCCAACAACGAAGGGCGGGAACGAGACACTGCAGACTCGAAAGGGATAGCGACAATAATTGATTCTTTTTAGACCATGTTACGCGTCCACATGACGAAATAAAGATAAAATATTCAGCGTCCCAGAGCGTCATGCTTGTTCTTTGAGCCATACAAGCATACCGTAAATGTTCGAGACAGCCATCGAAGCCTTGATTTCCAGGTGCTGGAAATATTCTACTACAGACTTTCGAGTTCAGCACTTCTTGTGGATAGAAAGCACGTAATTCATTCAAGACCACTTCGTTATGTCCGCAGACTTTACCAAATGCACCGCCCCACTTCACTTCATCGTTAGGTTCTTCGTTCGGGAACCACTTGCTCAGAAAACTCGAATGGTTTGCTTTAGAATGTGCAGCACAAAGTTTGTTTCGAACCACTAGTGATGTTGCGTCTTTTGAAGCACCATGACGTACCGCACCTTCCCAATGACCACCGTGAGCTCTGCCTTCAGCATAGTCCATCCACCGAGTTTGGGCTGATTTACGCTCCTCTGTCATAATTGTGCCCACAACAGCATTCACAGTAACTATACCAAGCACATCGAGCTTCTCACGGCGATGGTGATGATCTATTTTGTGATCTTTACCATTTATCATGTTGTCATTCTTCGTATGAGTACCCGTTAATTTGCGCGCCAGCATTACGTAAAGTTTTTCCATCAATGCTTGAAGCCTTTGTTCGTCAGGGGTTAATACACGTTTTGTTTTTTTCGTTTCTTCATTGTCTAAATCTGCACCTCGAGCAAGTTTACGTGCCCATTTTTCATCGTTTCGATCAGCAGCTCCCGTTTTGGTCAGACGTTGTGAAATTTCCACAATCTGTCGCGCAACTTTCAATCGTGGATGTAATTGTTGTAAAGACGGCATAGTAAGTTCTGGTTGAAATGTATCTGAACTCAGTATCTCTTGGCCAGTGGTAGCTGTCACATGGTATACATGGGCGAATTTCGTTCTGGCGAGGTCAATTGTTGATTTGTTGATACTTCCAATCAGGACCACGTCTGCCTGTCCACTCGCTGTAGCTGCCATCATGTGCTCAGTTGTTACCAGCACCATCCCTTGCTCTGAAGGTGCTACTGTCACAGACGTTTGAAACCTCTGCATGGTTTCGTTTCGCTGTTTTGCCGCCATCTTGTGGTGCAGCGCCACAGCTTGCAATCCAAGATGCTTAAGTATACTTGCCAAATCACTACACGATATTTCGTCATGATTTGGGAATGCTACCACACAAGGATGAAAGGTATTGCGGGAATACAAGATCCAAACGAGTCCAGCTAGCACATCAGTATCCTTCTTCACACGAAGCACAGTACTGGAGGCCTCACCTCTGTTAGCAAGAGGTAACTTAGTAGCATTCGATACTTTGACATTGTTTATCATTTTGTTCGGCATCTTCTTACGCCTCTTTATTGCTACCAAAACATCATCCGAGTCATTTCTGTCCACTTTGCGCTTCTTTGATTGTTTTTGCTGCTTTTTCTTGCCATTTTGTTGCGCGATTGGCGCTTTACAAGCTGTAGAGTGTAACATCAATGGGTTTACGACTACGAACGAGTCTCCTGAGTATGCTGCAGATCGCTTGGTAGTCGGACCGCGACCTCGATGCTTCCCCATGCTTTCTTACGACTTTATACTTACTTTTTGTATTGTATGGCTACATTAGTGATCAATCATGTGCGTCACACCAAACATCACTTGGCCAAAGATGGCAGATAAGTGGACCCCTTCGTCATGGCGTCAATTTCCCATCAAACAACAGGCTTCGTACCCCGATGAAAAGGCACTAAAGCAAGCTCATGACAAGTGTAAGTCTTACGATAAAATGCATTCAATCGGGTAATCATTTGGCTGAATATCTATCGTTTCAATTGTTTATAATGCAGTAAAAACATTGCCCGGATTGGTGTCTGTGCGTGAGATTGAAGAATTGAAGAAACAATTGGCAGAAGTAGCGGCAGGAAAGCGCTTTTTGCTGCAAGGTGGCGATTGCGCCGAGCGTTTTCAGGATTGTCAACCAGATCTGATTGAAAAAAAGCTTAAAATTATGATTCAAATGAGTCTTGTGTTAGTCTGGGGTGCACGTATTCCCACCGTGCGTGTAGCACGAATGGCAGGACAATTTGCTAAACCTCGGTCGAATGACACCGAGATGCTAGATGGCGACATGGTGACCAGCTTTCGTGGTGAGAATATCAATGGATACGAGAAAAACGAGCGTACACCAGATCCACGCCGGTTACTGGATGGGTATTTTCATAGCGCAGCTACTTTAAACTACGGGCGCGTGCTAGTAAGTTCGGGCTTTGCAGATATTCACGACGCTGGTAAATGGGACCTCGACTTTGTTCAGACCTCATCACGACGTGAAGAGTACCAGCACATGGTTAACGAAATCACAGATAGTTTACATTTCGTGCATATGTGTGGCGTTGGAGCGGACTCACCACATTTAAAAACTGTCGATCTCTTTGTGTCGCACGAAGGACTGGAACTTGGGTACGAAGAGACGATGACACGTAAAGTGGACGGCAAGTATTACAACGTAGGGACAGATTTTTTATGGATTGGCGACCGTACTCGCCAGCTAGACCACGCCCATATTGAGTACTTTCGAGGGATTGAGAACCCCATAGGTATCAAAGTTGGTCCGAGCATGGCTGTAGAAGATCTGGTGCCATTAATTCGTAAGCTATGGAAAGATCCGGATGCTTATCCGGGTAAAATCACACTAATTACACGATATGGTTACGAAAAAGTGGCGAGTTTACTCCCAAAGCATATCAAAGTTGTGAAAGATGCAGGACTAAAGGTCATTTGGTCTTGCGATCCGTGTCATGGCAACACTATCGTGGCTGAAAATGGCTACAAGACTAGACAATTTGACCGCATATTTGGCGAGTTAGAGCAAACATTGGAAATCCATCGTGAGGCGGGGTCAATACTTGGTGGTGTCCACTTTGAGCTGACGGGTGAAAACGTGACCGAGTGTACAGGTGGTCCGCAGGGTATTGATGAAGCCGATTTGCCGCTGCGCTACACAAGCTATTGTGATCCACGGCTAAATTACTCGCAGAGCATGGAAGTGGCCTTCCTTCTGGCCAAAAATCTTTCAGTGCACCATGACTTGGCACCACTAAACGAAACTTCCAAGAACCGAAAGCGTTCGATGGAAATTTCGGACCCATCAAAACGTTTTCGTGCTTAAAATACAGCTTAAGGTTATCGCTAGCTCTTGAAAATCATGATTTGAATACACTATCGGTAACGCTTCGCTACAAGTCTCTATTACGCCAGATCGCTTTCGCTAATTTCGTTACCGTCAGCCAGTTCAATCTGTGCAATATCGACGGCGTTGCTACTACTCAGTGGCTTGACTTCGCAGTTTTGATTACCCTTCGTATGTTTGTGCTTACGCAGATGTTCGAGAGTCGTAGTGGATGGAGCGTGCAAGTAGCAGAGCATGTAGACATAGACATTAATAATCGTCTGAAGTGACGTCCATGCTCCACCGCTCGATGGAATCGGCGATAACTCACCGCTAGCAAGACCTGCAAAGGAAATGATCATCATCAAACCACTTAACACTATGAGATAGTGGTACCGAACACGACGAGCACGAATCTCACGTATACTCATTCCAATGAGAACACCGTACCACATGATAAATATAACACTGAAAAGGCTGCAGAGTGATTTAAGGGATGTAAAAGAATTGCTTTCAGCAAGAGGATCCCACATGACATCGTTGTTGCGGCTATATTTGATGTAGCCGTAATAAAGCACCATGATGAACCAAAAATTTGTCACAAAGAACAGCTTTGGACCAAAAAACTTCACATTCGACACGCCACTTTCCATTCCTTGTAAGCGCATGTTGTCAATCCCAACTAGCCAAAACAGTAACAGCATCTGAAAGAATGTAACTTGAAATGCAACACTTAAAAGTCGAGCTGCGTTGCTGCCGTACGTAGCTTCTGCAAAGTAAAATGGGTCGTTGAAAAATATGAGCGACAAGATCAAAGCCATCACAAATCCTTGTTCTACGTTCTGCTCACGTGACGAGAGCTGATTAACACAGTGAATGTACCAGCCTGCAAAGAGTGTAGAGAGGAAAAGAAAGAAAAACTTGATACCAATGAGCCACTTTGTGAACGATTCAGTGCCCCATGTCTTTCGAAATTGAACATTTGAGCCAGAGAGTGTCAAAGTCTGCGTAGAGTTAAACAGGACGTCAACTTGATAATCTTTAAAATCAATATCACCAAATCGTAAGAAGTAGACTGGCTCACAATACAAATTACCTACTGCACACTCGACAGTGACTGTCTTTAAAGCGACATTGTCAATGATGTCTGCATATGTTTGATTACCACTAGTCTCGTTGAGATAAAACCCTTTGACATGCGGGATCAATGTAACATTAAAAGTTTGATATGTTTGGTTCAAGTTTGGAAATGAGGCTTCGAGGTAAAAGTAGCGATTGAGCTGCTTAAATCCATTGAGTTCAAACGAATAATGGACAACATGTAGACTCTGTTCGTTACTGGCAAATGGACGATTCGTTCGGTTCGTGCATGCGTCAAACATACACGTTAAGATGGATCTTCGTTCTCTCAATGAAACTTTCAAGACCTCATCAATAGCAGATACGGCACTATCAATATCTGTATCATTGTCACTGATTGTACCGTTTGATCTGATGCACTCCCTGTAAAGACTGATGGAAAAGTCTGAAGTGCATCGTGTCGGACTGCTTGTCCAGTCAGATGTAGCAACTGGTGGTGATCCACCAAAGCCAATAAGTACAAATAGTGTGAGAAACGTGACAGCGACGCCCGAGACAAGCAATAGTTTCATCATTGAAATGACTTCGATTCTCATGAAGCTACCATCGTCGATGCGCTCTGCCGGCTTTGGTTTCATAATTCGTAAGAAGTTACAGTAGTTCGATATTTTTGCAATTGACGTGGATTCCTGAATCTGCGATGCAGTCCATTAATATCAAAGAGCATGAAGTAAAAATGGCACGGGATTCTGAAACTCCTGTTAGAAAGCTACGTGCTCATTCATGTAGATTCCTCAGCAGTATGTATTTTTGAACTTGTATCGTGTACGAAACCTATCGATATCTAAATTAGACCAATGACTGGAATAGTGCTAAGCGTCAACAAATCCATGGCCAATAGCTCGAGCTTCACGAAGATTGACAGATTCTACAAACGCAGCTAATTCAATTTCGTCGGCGGGTGGTAATTTATTGCCGTATCGGGCAAAAAGCTCAGCTGAAGAAAAGTTGCTAAAGAACTCGGACGCTTTCTCGGTGCATGAATCGCAAAAGTGTAATCGATTTGTGCATGCAGAACAGCCTTGAACGTGATTTATAAGCTCGATTTGTGATGGTGTATTGTGTCTTGTAGAAAGGAATGCCTTTTTCATTAACCGTTCGAGCTCACGCTTGTCTGTAAATGGTTAGCGTTATAATTAGTTAAAAGTGCGTAGTTTCATGGAATAAATGCGGTTTACTTGCCAAGAATCACAGTCTCCTCTGCCTTCTCTAGCTCGACAGTTAAACACTTGTCATGACCAAAGTGCGTAATGCGAGCAGGACTTTGTTGAGACTTTACCTCACAAAAACTTCTGAATTCCCGGTCCCATTTATCTTTAAGCTGTAGCGCCTGCTCCAATTTCATATTCGAGTGTAGCTATATTACCGCGACAAAGCCAAAACTTAATCGAAAGAGTTGATTCAGCTTTCGTTGTCACCACCGCAGAATGCAGCTCAAATTTGAAAGTGACTTCTTTTTAATTAGTAAATCCTGGTATCCTGAAAATAGGCAGCAAATAAATTTCAAAGCTTGCGTAGCCGTTGCTGATCTTAGGTTGTTGATGGTTTTCGATGTTTGGTTACACATTGTTACCACTTCATTGTTAATATGTCAAACATTTTAATTGATAGAACTGGGGGAAGGACACAAAGCTGCGGTGAATTTATTGTCACATCATACCGAGTTTACGTGTAGCTGCTCGAGTACTTCTAATTTGACAAGTCCATCCACACTTACAACTGTTGCAAGCCAAACGAGCATTGCCCAATCTTGAGTACACAGAATTTCCAGAACACTTTAAACAGCAAGGCCTTCTCTTCACCCTTCAACTTGGATTATCTCCGATTTATGGATAAAGAGAAGTCCTAATTTACTTTGACTTTGCCATGGTCGATGTTATAGAGCTCGCAAATTGTCATAATCCATGCCGTTCGTGGTCGATCGCTGTCTGCCTTCTTCGTTTCTATGGATACTGCGTCGAACTTTTCCCTTCGCACTAAGTCGGGTGTTGTTCGCCCTCTGTCAACGTAAAAGTCATGCTGAATCCGTCCTTCTCATTCAAGTGACTAATCGTGAAAGCGTTCATTCTGTTGCTACTCGAATGCATCTCCTCTCTGCTGGTTCTTCTTTGTCGTGTCATACTTCTTCGTCGCCCCTGACAGCTTGGCGATCTCGATATGCTCATAGCCCTTAGTTACGTCCTGTTCATGGTCTACTACTTCGACGTCTGACTGACGCAATTCTGGTTCTTTGAAGTCTTTACTTAGCCCTGCACTCTCTCTTTTAACTGTCACTTAAGATGAGTTAGAGGACGAAAAGCTATTTGCGTTGACAAGTCCGTCGGTTTGCTCTTCTCAGGGTCCTTCAGGGCCTTCATGCTAGCAGGTTCGTCGGAAAGATCGCAATATAAAATCGTAGTGATTCTAAGGTTAGGCTGGGAACACCTCGATCTTTTAAACGCCGAAAGATGTTACTGCTCTGACGGGGCTTTGTTTGGCGTGCTGCTGATTCGAAACTCCAAAGTTCAGGAGTAGTGATGTACTGACTTCGCAAACAAACGTTTGCGAGACACACACTGCAGCGGGGCTGCCGTAGCGTTGCGCTAAGAGGAAGCGTAATTTGGATCACCGACCTTTTGTTCTATACTTAGAACTAGTACGAGTTAGCAGACCACAATCGCTTACTCCAAGAGTAATTATTGCCTTAACCCAAGGCTTATTACCCTTCCGCTTGTAATCCAAAACTGATTTTTATTTGTTTTTATCTGCGGCAAAGCCGCCTAATTTTAGATGTATAGATTTTCCTAAATATATATAGTAAAATCTAAATACATGCATAACTACT